TATAAAATAAATAGATTTGCCAAGTTTTATCAAAATACATCCATAAACAAGCAAACTACAACAGTTTAATGTTCTACGTATGAATTACATGACAATAGTCATGCAGGTTTGCGAACTCATTCGAATAAAATACATGTAGATTTACACGTTTGTACCAAATCACATCAAAATCGGATAATTTTGTTCGATTTATCTTGTTAACGGACAAATATATACAGTATATATATGTATGTGTGAATTTGAACGGAGAGTGTTTTTGAAACTGGGGTATTAACAATTGGTAAAAAAAATCAACACTCATTCATAAGCACATGAAAAATTTGTCCGGATATTTCCTCAAATCCGAGTATAGAGGTAAATCTGGCCTTTCAAGGTTCTCGGACTATAAATTAGATGCACCCAGTATTTTCTCTTAAGTTTTCTTGCACGAAATCTTGTCAGTAACGCACATATGACAGCGGTTTCTTTCATGTACATCCATTTGACACTTGAAAGACGACTAAACAGTCGTGTCGTGTGCGCACCCATAGTCAACGACCAAACAGTCTTAACGATTTTTCGATTGTCCCCCCGACTCCAGCCAGACAGATAGCCAACAGTCGGCCGACAAAAAGTCTCTCGTGTGCGGTAGGCCAGGATGTTGTGTTTTGACGAATTAGTCCTCATCTTCAAATAAAATTCCATTATACATTTTATGTTTGTAACTTTCCACATAAAGTAAGATAGGAGCTAGGGGGGAATTTAATCACAAGATTAAAATGAAAAAAATTCGTTCTGCCAGGGACAAAATAAACCTTTGTCAAAAGAATGAGATTTTCAGGTTGAAGTGGTAAGCATACTTGGCCATGAAATCCAATGTTAAAACGGTTTCATTACCCATATTTTGTTTCCACAAAACATTTTTCGGCATCCAAATGCTCAAGAAAAATTAAGCTTAGGTTTGCTTGGGGTTCTGTGTACCTTTGTCTTCAGTTGTGTAATTTTCGCGTCAAATTTTAAACTGTGTACAGAGTACCAAAGTACCGATTAAAAAACCTAATTTTCATGCTAGACATACTTTTGATTTAATATTAATAACTTCTTCCCCAGAAGGTATCAACGTATAGTACGATTTTTTTTCGTAACAACACTAAGTAAAGCTTTAACCACAAATTTGTATTTCAAGCTTAATCTAAAGCAGGATTGAGTGTTATTGGTTCACATAATACTGCAATACATTGCATATTATCCACTTAGGACAGAAACGGTATGAATCATTATCATAAACAAATTATCAATGTTTCGAAAGTAGACATGTTTGTACTATTATTAAAATGAAACTACTGTATAAGAAAATGTGCAAACCATGATTAATGTTATGTTATTGGTATAAGATTTGGGCCACGACGTCATTGGTTAATGTTTATGATCCATGTAGTTCTTGTTCTGATTTCCGTGATATTAGATGTGTAAATACCCACGAATTGCTCAACTCCAGCAGTATAACGAGATAACTATCAAGTATACCAAATATGTTAATATTTATCAATTATTTTAATTGCAAATTTTTTAAAGAATCAATTAATTTAAATTCTGTATAAAAGTTAATAATGCACATTGTATTAGGGATAACGTTGTGAGGTTCATTTTCCGAAACACTAACTTTAAACTGAGTTTTAAATGCATCTGTTATAACTGTTGTGTGAATTAGGTCTACAGTTTTGAACAAACATTTTAACCACCCCAATTGGCACGCTCACCAAACCAGTTAAGCTCTCTAGTTTGGATGGTAATGCTGCACATTTTTTATTGTGTTGGGATTGTTTACTATCAAAGTCTGCAATACAACATTCATATATGTAGGAATTTCCAACAATGCCTTGGTCCAACAATGCTTTGGTATTCAGTAGAAATTAAACCTTAAATACCTTTGGACGTACCCTTGGACTAATAAGACTAAACCTAGTTGAAACATCGAATTATAATTCTAATTTATTCGGTAAAGTTCATTTCCCTAAACCTTCAGTGGCTTTTCCTGCTAACTGGGGGTTGCATCTAATCTATTGGATCCATCAACAATCGTGAAATTGAATAATACGCATTAAGGTATTCCAATGTGGTATGTTTCACATTTTAGCTGCCAATAATCCAGATGGCCAGTATGACAGTGCCAAAATATTTGAAGAAATTAAAGTCAAGTATACAATTTACAATAAATAACTGTTTATCTAAAAAACACGTTAAAACACAAAGTAATTCAGTAAATCAACCTTTTGAGCTCAGGTGCTTTATTAATAACTAAGATGAGTTTCATCTGACAGGATGTTAAGGCTTTCCCTCCTATCAATGCAAATCCAATTCCTTAACCTGACATTGAATAAAAATTTAGTTAACCCCAATATTTTTTTTTCACGCGCCCATCCAAGGCATGGGGGATATTACCTAAGCCAATTTAAGAAAATCTATAGATTTCTAGTTTTTTTAAAGCAATTAGTCTCGTAGCCTACTAGAAAATTCCCGTGGTTTTTATGTAGTTTGGAGGAAAATGGAGAAAGAGTAATCAGGGAATGAACCAACTGACAATTGATTATAATATTTAAAAAGCCAAGTCTGTACGTTGAATGAATATAATCTTTTAACTGTATTTATTAAATACTTTACCATACGTTCCCTCAGCTACGATATCACTAGGTATCATACAGAACGATTTTTCCAACACAGTATGAAGAATCGGTCAATTTTTAGTATTTGTTGTGTTATTTACAGCATGGACCCTTTTCATGTTAAAACTTTAGTGTAAAAAACATACCAATCTTAAACTATCTAAAATTATTCATTTTTTACTGTTTTAACGTACTAACATTTGAATTATGTCACAATTAAATCCATCCTCTTTTTACATCTTGTGAGCCCTTAACTACTCAAGTATGAAAAACAAAAATTGAAAAAAATAAATGTAGTATTGAGTTGAATGAGAGCTTATGTCACTTCTTGAATAAACGCTTATCCATATAATTTATACACTATACCATGCTTTCTTTGGTATTGAACCTGAAAATGAGCCTTTTTTTAAAGGCAGCGACAAAAGCAACTAAGTAGTGAACTACTATTTCCACAAAAGCGTTATATCAATGAATAATGCAAGACATGTGAATGTGAATGCCCCTTGAAGTGCATTACTTCTTAAAGTACAAATTTAAAATAATTCCATTTTATTTTGAACACAGTATTTCCTTAGTGATATGTATAATGTATAATTAAATTTAAAAGTTCAACAAGGCCAATATATAATAAATTATTTTAATCCACAAGCGCTTTCAGAAACTATGTTTCCATCGTCAGGCTGTGTTTAAACTGATAAAAAAGTAAATATTTACAATAATAAATTAATTTTAAAGTAATGTTAAAACAGATGATGAAGAGGATATTGGAAAAATATATGAAAAATAATCTTTTGAAATTTGGATATATTAGAGTGTTTTTCTTGATGTAATTATTTTAAGTAATTCCGAGTTCATAATTGAGCCGTCTTCATTATTTAACAAATAATTTTGATCTGTGTTTTCTATAAAATAAGATTCCCACGCATTAAGATGTTGAGGTTTTATAATTTGTTTCAAAAGTTTAAGGTTTCCCAAATTGAAAATGTGTCCTGTATTAATACTGTGGCTAGCAAGGGTTGATTTTTCAGGTCTTCTGTATTTTGTATGAGCTTGGTGTTCTTTGAATCTGGTTTGGATTTTTCTTTTTGTTTGGCCGATATATTTCATGTTACAATCATTACACTTAATTTCAGTATTTCCTTATTTAACAACACATTTACATTACCAGTAATGTTCATAGTATTCCTCTTTAGTTAATATCATAAGTAACTAAGTTAGAACTCTTTTTCCAGTAACAGTTAAGACGCTTACGTAGACTCAACGGAAACTAAATCACCTTGACACCGGCAACAAGTGGTTATTTAGTTCTGGTCTTCAAAGTTTTTTATAAACCCTTAGTAAATATTTTATTTTTTTAATTAGTTAGTTAGATGTATTCCTTACTTGAACGTGTATTATTATAGCCTTTCAAAATCTTAAGCACCCTACAATAGTTAGTATAACACATGGATAAACTGTATTTTGTTTTTGGAGCCACAACACCAGACAAAAACTGCTAATCTTTTAGCTAAATTTAGTGTATAGTAGAATGTAAAACCGTTTACCTAGATTTAAACAAATGTTGAAATATCAACTCGATATGAACATGTAGTGTTCTACTCTTTATATATATATCTACGTATATGTATTCAATTGACTAATAACATTTTAAGATTGTGAAACATTAATGTCATGTGATTACTTTGAAAACACAACCAAACGTACAATAACGTGGAAAACCCCTAATAACACTTATTGGTTAGATAATTTAGAATCTTCTGCAATAAAAACGCGTTTATGAAGCCTATTATCGTGATAATTTTATTTAAAAGTTATCAAAAATATATAACTATGCAAACACTGATTTGATTACAATGAATGAATCTAATAATGATTAGTGTGGCAATAACTGTTGTAATTTTACCGTGATATCTAAATTGGTAAAGCAAAGATTTGATTATTTTGTCTAACTAGCGTATAATTATGTCTTAAACATATCTTAAACAAAAAACAATCAACATACTACAGATTGTTAGAGTAACTCACTAATGACAGATGTGTCTTGACAGGTTTTGATTATATAATATTTCTTTTTGGAAACAGGACTTTTAGCAACTATGAAGTCAGAGATCATATCAAAGCACTTTGCCTTAGCTATGTCATCTTTAAGAGAATGTTGCACCTATGCTATTGTTTACTTCAATGCACTTTAGAAAAAACTTAATATCACAAAAAAAATATTTATTACGTGCCTATGGTTTCTGATAGGTACAGTCTCATGAACTTTGATACACCTAACACTACGTACATCATATGAACCAAATAATTCGCCAATTTAACCGACACAAAGTGACGTCATGTCTATATATATATATATACCTGTTTGTGGGTATCCTAGCCGGTGTTGTTATTTAAACACTCACTCCCGACACAACAGCACTGTTAGCAGGCTCGGGCCTTACTGTCCCTCACTCCCCTCTCACTCTCTCCTCAGCCTCTGTACCATATCGATCTTCCAACCCGTCCCAACACCACCCCAAAGTTCTACAACCGATACTACAACCACGTGTTCTGCCAGGAAACGGAACTGACTTGGTGGAATCAATAGATTTGTCAAGGTCACTTTGTGTTTTGTTGGGTTATCATTTGTATTTAAGTTTTAGCACAATTGAAATAGAGAAGCAACCTTGGTGCGTATTTTAACCCAAATATGAGATGAGTGTAGAATGGTGAGAGGTGATCTGTGTAGCTTTTTTGCTGACTAAGACCAGCTGTTCTTTCAATCGATCAGCTGTTTCATCAGTTGAAATAAAAATGTTTAGTTTGAAAAAAAATCATTTATCATTCTATAGCAGTTCGATCCTTGACAAAGGAAATGTTATGCAGAAGGTGGCAGGAGTAATTAATCAAGGTCATTCTTTATTTTGAGTCATTTAAATATTTTTAGGTGATTATATTTATGATACAACACAAGAAGAAAGATTTTATGTATATTACTAAAATCTTAATATAAAAATTTTACTATACTTTTATTTAAATACTAAAATCTTATGTATATGACTAAAGAACTGTCATTTGAATCTCTCATGTAGATATGTCGTTATGTGAATCCATCGTAACAACCATCGCTATGTAAACAAAGTCTTTTCCCGTATGCTTTACCAGCATTTTTTTTTTGTGTTGAGACAATTAACACAGTTACCTCCGGCGTAGAGAAGAAATCAATGTTTCGCCTTTTGCGGTTTGTTCAATCAACCGACCGATTGTTCTTCTCCATTCACCTAAACACAATGGCGTTTGTATCTGGTGTTTTACTGAAATACTGTTGGAGATAGTTTAAATATAAATATACGTCATTTCACAATATATGTTAACTTTTATGTATATATCTAACTAATGGATATGGTAATAGTATGAAAATTTTACAATAAAATATACGAAAGGATACGTTTTTTACTGTCCCATCTACACATCCTAGGGTGCTATTTTCTAGCCCGGAACTGGTTTTACACAGTACTTTAGGATAGTCTCATAGGGTCATGGTATTATCACCAAACATCCATAGCTGTAAGGCAGGATTTGAGCCCGGGACTTCGCGGGCTGAAACTTTGCGCTCCACTATAGACCAGCAATAGGGAACTCGTGCGCAGATTACATATTTTTTCATGTATAGAACCATGAGATGTTTTGTAGGATTTAGATGATATAGCTTAAATAAAAATAGATTGTAGAAAACAAAAATAAAACTTGTTAAAAAAATAAAATTATAACATTGATAAAACAGCTAATTTACAATATTATACTATATGTTATTAACATTGTACAATATACTATAGAAACAGTTTACTGTTATCGATCAAAAAAGCATTTTTGAAAATAATTTTCTTTTTCAACTGTTTCGTGTCTTGTTTTCAATTCAACTGTAGTTAAAAATTCAATTGATGATTCATCTGTTAAATTACAATTCACGTAAAAATAATTTTATAAATCAGGGGTTTTTAGCAGCACAGGTACTCTGAAAGCACACTAAAATAAATCACAGGATTCTGGGTGAAGCCATAATAGAAATAACCTGTTAAAAGACCATCCTCCACTAGATAATAAACATTAAGCGAGTATTATAAAAGTATTTTACAAAAGAAACCCTTATTGGATACATTAATTCGCAAATTTCGCATCACCCACGTCACTAAACAGTTTACACCCAGACCATAGACATACAACGGTAATTACACTGTAACTGAACTCCTTTCGCAAATATTAGTTGATTGTTAGGTAATTCCAAGAACTGTCTGTGCAAATATAATTTACCACTCAAACTAATTTCCGTTGTTAAAATCTATTTGTGATTGTACTGTGGTCGCTTATCTTCACAATTAACAAAATTGATATTTAGGTATGCTTTGTTAATTATAGCTTGAGAGGTAACAAAACTAAGTTGAATCATGTCTCTTCGTGTTTCAATAATTGATTATCAATAAAGTTTAAAAGATTTTCCTCTGATGGTAGCATCTAATATTACGTAGGCTTAACGCTGGTATTTTTTTTACATTTAAAAAAACATCAATTTGATTTACCCTCCAAGTTCGCCGACCCAATGAATTGACAAAAGCTTCCTTTTAAATTATTTTTTCAATATAGATGGTTGCGAATAATATTATGTCATGTTGTAAGATTTTCAGAGATATCTCTAAGATATGCAAAACTAATCCAAGGATATTTTTACCAACATTTTATTAGTGATTTTTAAATAGTAATATAAGAGCTTTAGTGTTAATTTTAGAAAGGAGAAAATTAAACCTTACAAACAAAAGTCACCTTCGTCAAGATCGTTAGGTCTTGTCAGAAAGCCAAGAACTTCTTAATTGTAGCCTTATCTTACATCAGAGCTAAATCTTTCTTATTTCGAAGAACAGTTAAAATTTTAAGTTGTGTCAAATAATTTTATCAGGTGAATTATTTTCTGTATAACTATTAATAATTGATAAATTTTTAATTTTTAAAGTTCCATTTAACTTTTTAGTTAAATCATACATCATAATGGTTCACAATGATCGATTCTAAACATAAAAGTAATAAAATATCTAGTATTATTTTCAACTTATAGCGAAAACCGATTTTATATTGGTTTCCTAACACTCTTTTTTGATTTGTTAATGCGTTGCAACAAATAAAAAATAATAAAAGAATGAAGTAAACACCATATAAATTTACAGACGAACCCTATATGTGGAACCATCCCTTTTAGAGGGCATAAATTGTACCCTGCTGGCTTGGACAGTATTTTAGGTGAGAAGGAAATTATGTTTACGGGTGTGACCTACATAGAATCTTCTGTTTAAAAGACTTGAGGGAATTTCTTGTTCTTGTTTATTGAAAAAGACCCTCAGTTTTTGAATGTTAAAAATGTAGTGTTATACTGAACGACTTATGAAAATATGGTTTTCAGTAGGTTAAATGAATAATCCATCATATCATAAGCGAAAACATTCTGGTAGACGAAGAAATTATTTAAATTGCCACTATATAACAAAAAAATAACTGTTAACCTGTTTTCCAAAAAAAACTTTTTTCTCCTGTGTAGTCCTTTTCTGTGTAGTACTAGACTATCATATTACTAAAGAAATAACAATAATTAGGGATGGGTCTTCTACTTGGTATTTCAAAACAATAAAAAATATGGGTTACCAAAAATATTTTGATTTTCGGATGCTATATCAATCTTAAAGAAAAGTTCTACAATCAACATAACCTAAACGTCAGATGTCTCCGTGATTTGGTACTTAAAACAACGAAAGAATGAACTTAAAGCGAAGAATGGAGTAATAGCTATTTACATTACAAGTGTAGTAAGAGCGTTTTTACATCACGCAGGTGAAAGTTGTGCAACGAGCGAAGCGAGTTGCATAATTTACCTAAGTGATGTAAACACGCTCTTGCGTAACGTGTAACGTACAAGATTTTACCTGACCCGACAATATACAGGAGGTTACGAACAATATTTTTCATTACCCATTTCACTCATCTTATAACAGTAAGGTTCATTTACAAACAAAAGCTAGGTTATGAAAATTCTCCAAAACATAACAATAACAATAAAATTCAAGCACACAGCTGATTTCTAGCGTTAAACGTCGTTGGCTCCATAGAGTTATATTTTTTAAGTTATCCACTCAATGTTATTTAAATGGGTTTCATTACATCACCGAGTGAGTTTTTTGATACTTTACATCACTCGAGAAGTAAGGAAGTTGTATACATCACGCTTAGGATAGGGAAGTTTAACATGGCGGGTTAGGTAAAACTATAATTCCTTTTACATACCCAAAAGCATAAGTAATCCAAACGATATTTTTGCTACTAACCAAAAACTAACCAAAAAGACAATTTTTTACCCCTTTTGCATTGTCCAAATGTATTTTGTGCGATTACATTAAACTTCAACTCAGCTAAACGATGACAATTAGGTAATGAAAGTGAAAGTAAAGCGAAAGAAGATTTTTTCAAATCAACTCAAAGTCTATCTTCTTAGTATCTCCAAGAACATCGAAAGCTGATTGGAAGAGGATCTTTTTAGGAGACATCGACAAAAAATGTCGTCTTTTCTTCTACGAAAAATCTGTACGCTATCAATTTATAATATTCCAATGATCAATGAATGGTTATGAATAGCGTAGTTCTACCTTTTAGGTTTAGTTTGACAATTTAAATATGTACAAAAATACCATTGAGTTAAAGTGGTTCTACTTATAATTTTGTATTCGACATTGTGGTTTTTTAACATTAGTGTCCACAATAAGTACGGATCCTAGATATAATAAGACCTGCAAAGACTACATACTATTATTGACTGGAGCCAATGTTGTATTACTTCGAATTTGTTGAGCACGCCTTTACAACAAAGTGGAAAGTCAAGACTCCAAATGTCCATAGACCACAGTCAGTGGTCGGATAGACCTCGCCCCGGAAAGAGACCTTGTCATACAAATCCAACATTGTACCCCCTCTACCAATATCCGGTTACGGATTCAATCCTTGAACTTCCGGTATGTGACTGTTGGGTAAAAACTAAAAACTACCATGCGTAAGTTTTCGTCATGAATTTGTAAATTGCCTTGCGCAAACGATGTTTTCATAAGGAAAATTTTTGTTGCAAATATAATAATTAGTCTATAAGTCCATATATAAATCGATGCTTTAGATATAGGAATGACCCTATCTTAAGGTAAATTTTAAAGGAATGAAGATCTTAAAACTCACTATACCGTACTGACATATGTCATGAAATTCTTTTGAGTATTTAAATGTAGTTTGCATTTCCATAGTTTATTTTTAATATGTGATATACGTTTGATTACGTGCATTTTAAACGGTACTGTTTTATAATTACGTTATTCAAAATACGTTTATTCATAATATACGTTATTTAAATTTAATACGCTATTTAATGAT